ATCTACCTCATCGATTAAATAAATGGTTCAGTTCGAAAATTACCTAATCCGACAGACCCCTGAAGAAGGGCACAACGCCGAAACGTTATGATAGCAACAACAAAGATCAGGGCATAATTCTTAATATAAATAATAATTTTATTTTATACAAGTGTAATAAAGATATTTTTACATTTATACATTAATATATAAATTTCAAATAAAGAGTACATGACAAATAATCCTGGGTATGACGATAAATTGCATCCGGCAGCAAAGCCTCTGTTCGGGTAGTTTTGAGGAGCGTGGAACTATCTTTGAATTGCTGTTGTTCCCATGTCTATTGTGACCCGGGGTGGTAGCACCTGTTACAATCGCAGCTATGGACAAATAGTTAACTCCAAACTGGGGTCAAAACACAATGAAAACTAGATTTTATAGTAAAATACTAGCAATACATTTGTGAAAAAATATTGCCATTAATACATTTGTCTCTCGACAAAAATACGTCAATGAAACTTGATTTCTTACAAACAATACATATTCTATTGATACAAATGTATCCTAGAAATATTGTCGGCATTAAATAACCCATTAAGGTTGATATGCCGTAAAACAAAATAAACCCAAACTCATGATAAATAATAAATAGGAGTAGATAGGTTCGCCTATCACCCGGTTCACATAGCACCCCCCACCCGCCCCGGTCTTTAGAACAGGAGTAGAAGTTTTGTGATGTCAATGAACACTCGTTGCCATTTTTGTAATGTTAACGAATACTCGTTGTCACTTTCATAATGCTCGTTGTAGTAGAGACTTTGTAATCGCAGATACAACTATAGTAACTCCGTTAAATAATGCTGGTGTTAGACACCTTCGAATAACACTCGCACTGATGGTACTTGCTTGATGATACTCGCTCGAACAGTAGTCCGTATAGTGATCCGAATAGAGAAATGGTATAGTGAATAGAGTTGAGAATAGCGGTCTGGATAGTAATAGAGGATAGACTAGAAATGAAGATCCAAATAGTAATAGAAGGTAGACTAGAATATAGTGATCGTTTAGACTTCACCCTACTACCTACTTATGCGTTTCCTCCATGGTCACGTGGTCTACTTAATTCAATAATGGGATCGCCTGTGTTTTGTTCAATGGCGATCTATGTTCTAACTCAAGCGTCGACAGCGACACTTTATTCCTATATAACAAGAAGTTTATCCCTTTTATCCTGTTTATGAGTGGGTATCCGGTTCCTTCTAAAGTCTACTTAAACTCTATATTCGTAATGTTTGTTCTTTTCTATGCTAATATAAGTCCACACACCTTGAGTGGCTTTCGGGCCTTGTATTGGGCGACCATTAGTAAAAATAAAATGAAATAAAGGATGGTTACTAACGGGATTTAGCTGACGAAACGACATCAATTTGCTGTGTATTTGACACTTTTTCTTTGACGAAAATATATTAAGTTTCAGACATTGTTGTAGTTGAATTTTATTTTTGACTGAATCGAAATTTTCTCCGACCAGCAAAAAAAAACAAAACAAAACAGAAAACGACCTATGTGCAAAGTAGGACTTGTTATTTTTTAAAAAATCGTGGCCGGGTAGATCGGCTTAGTAGGGCTGCGAAGTTGAAGTTGTACCTGTAGCAAAGCTGCAAAAGGTGGGTGCTCTCCTAACACTTTGAACCCACCATACCCCGCACCAATAAAGGAATATGCGGGAAAAAATAAACCAACTCGGTAAAAGATTGTCGACTTACCCGAGCTGAGAACGAATTAATTATCAACTAGTACTGTTTTTGTCACTGACAGAAAATTTGTCAAGATTATTAAATCAACAAAAGATATTTTGTTGACAACATTCGGTTGATAGTTTAACAAGATCGTCAAGCGGCTTAGTTTTCTACTTTGGATTATACTGTTACCAACAAAATAAGATTGCGTGGCTCTAACTAGAGAAAAAAAAAGGGTAAGAGAAAAGGGATCACGTCATGAAAATAAATCATGTCAGGAAATAAAGGACCGGAATTTTAGAATTTAAAGCGCCTTCAAGTGTCGAAGGAGTCCTGGGTATGACGATAAGCTACATAAGCAAACAAAACCTCTGATCGAGAGATTGGAGGTTTTGGAGAGCCTGTAACGACTTCCTTAATTACTATTGTTCCCAGGTCCATCATCGCCTGGAGTGGTAGCACCTATTAGTGTCCAAGCTATGGGCAAATAGTGAACCCTCAAAGTATATATATATATATATATATATATATATATATATATATATATATATATATATATAAAATGACCAACAATACATTTTTTAAAGCAAAATGACTAGCAATAAATTTTATCTGCAGTTGAAGGTATACAGTTGCGTTCAAAATATATTTAATTGAAACCATAATATTTTGTTCAAAATATCGGTTGAGATGTCAACAATATACCATAGTGGTTGATATGCCAACCAAACCACATGAAAGAACTTTCGTGACATTAATCGATATAATATCCTACAATTTCTTAAATATAATTTCCAAAATATAACTTCAAGAAAACGACAAAATAAAACACACACATCACCGCCTCTAGTAATGGTGTCCACACAATCATGTGTATGCATAAAAGCTGAGTATCATCTACCATGTATTTAGTTGTGAAAGCAGAATAACATATATCGTATTTTTATTACTTCAAAGCTCCCAATAAAATTAAATTTCGGCATTAAATAACCCATAAGGTGTTGGTATGCCTATCACCAAATCAATGAAGGTGCCAAAGGAACATCTATTTGCATATTTTATATAGTTTGCTGAGATTGCAGCAATGCATTCCAACCGTAAGAAAAATGTCACTTCGAAATAATGATCGATCAGAAAGCCTTCACTGTTATTTCCAACATTCTGGATGTGGGGATCGAAAACTGTCACTGGCAGAAAGCCAAAGTGTTGGTTTCTGTAGAGAGACCTATCATCTCTCTACGGAATGCCAGAGTAAGGCACCCAGTGACAACAGGAAAAAACTTTAAAAATATTTTTACGGCGGATCGATTCTTTTGTGGTGCCATTAAGGTGGCTATATCTAGCAGGTGATTGGAATGCTGTCTTTAATCTCAGTTTAGACCGCGTTAACGATAGGGAAGATAGTGTTTTTTTGATTTTCTTTTTTAGGAAATAAAACACTAGTAATACGTTAGTGACTTTAGTTAGTTCATTTAAATGGTCAATAATTGAAATCAGAGAGTAAATGTTCGATGTTCGCACCACAGCGTGGATGGATGTTGCCTGCAAAAGAAATAACTTACCACATGTTACTATTTGAATAGAAAGAGGTTTCTCCTCTCCTCACAGAGAGTGCGAGATGTGTTCTCATGTTTACGCAAATCTTCATGGCAAGCTGTGAATGCTGGAAGCTATCATCAAGAAAATATAATTTCCTATCTTTGGGTTTGATGCTTCCAATAACAGCAGGGAACGATCTGATATTTTTTAGGTGTATCGATTCTTTTGTGACGTCATCAAGGCAGGTAGAGCTTGCGATTGATTGGATTATTTTTCTTTATCCTGATTTAGACCGTCGGGACAACAGAAAGGGAAACTTCCTTCGGATTAAAACTCCTTGTTTTATCGGCAGACTTGAAGTTGTCGATAAATTGCAAAATGAACATCCAGAGAGGGTCGAATGAACTTGAACAGGTGGAAACGACTCTAGTTCGATGGAAAGTTCTAGCTACATCGACCTTGTTCTAGTGAAAAAACTTAGTTTATAACTCTGTGGGTGTCCAAGTTTTCAGAGTATAGTTCTTAGCTTACATCAGTTTCGTATAAACTTAGCTTTAAATCTAGGAAAGATGGATATTAGAAAATCAGGACATCTTTGTTAAATGTGAAAATACTTCCAGACCCAGCTAGCACTAAGCCTAAATTGAGGACAAACGAGGGTTGTAATGAAATAAATTTAAATCTTGAATTAGATCGATGGCATTTCATTACAGCCCAATTAGAACGTTAGTGTTCCGACCATAAGACTCAAGTTCGAATCTAGGTATGATCGACTTCTTGATAATATCGGTGAGAGAATCCAAACGTGCGGAAAGTTCTCGAAAAACACACCATTTATTGCCCCAAGCCTTGTAAATGATATTGGGTAGACGAAATTTAGGTAGACGAAATTTGTTTGGAATCCGTCAATGTTTGTGATAAACATCAAATCATGCGCTATCTCTAAGTAACACATCTGCCTCAGCAGGCGCCTACAATAGGGATTAACTTGCAGACTCGGATACGAAGGGTCTTTTCTTTCTTTTTTTATGTGCCATGTCCTCTCAGGACGTAGGCGATAATGACTCTCCACCTCCCTTTATCCCTTGCAGCTCTCAACAAGTTCCTTCCTTCTGTTTCCTCTCCCAGACCACGTTCTGTCATCCACTTGCTTAAGTCCCCCAGGTATGTCACGTGTTGTTTTCCCTTGTCTCTCTTTCTTTCTATTCGACCCGTGAGTATCAGATTCTACATGCCCACCTTCCTCATTATGTGTCCCAGTAACTTCAACTGCCTCTTCCTGATATTAAGTATAAGCCTCCTCCTTGTTTGCAACCACTCTAAGATCTCATCATTGCTTACACGCTCGGTCCATGATATCCTTAGCATTTCTTTAACAGTAAAATCTAAATTTAAAAATTTTCTACAGAACTTTGGATCGCCACAGGTCGGCATGTCGCCAACAATATCACCGAAATTAGAAGTGAAGTCATACGTGAAGAATTTCACAACCACTCCCAAGAACTTTTCACCAAAAATCCCGGTTTTAATTTTGCTTAGTTCGAAGCCTATTTCGACGATTTTCTTCTCCTCAACGCGACGAAAAAGGTTTGGAATGAAGATGGAATAACCGGAAGATGAAATTCGAGAAACGTTGTCGGTCAGGAATAACAATACTCCGTGCATCGATGTTTTATATTAGGAATTGTACCAAAGCCGAGGTGAAGCAAAAATATATTATCTAACGTTTAGTCCCTGGTTTAGCGAGGGAGCTGGATGATGAATTATTTTCCACATACTCTCTCTCTCTCTCTCTGTCTCTCTCTCTTTCTCTCTCTCTCTCTTTCTCTCTCTTTCTCTCTCTCTCTTTCTCTCTCTGTCTCTCTCTTTCACAGGCGGGATGTGGCGAGGCTCTCGCTTCTCTATCGCTACTTCTATGGCAAGTGCTCAAACGAACTACATTCCTTGGTTCCACCAATTCTAACCTCCACGGTTAGAACCCGCCATGCGGCGCGCATTGTAGGGAACCATCTTTGTTCCCATCGTATTCCATCGGTGCGAAGTGAATTTCACTCGAACAGCTTCTTCCCGCGAACCACTGCTCTGTGGAACCGACTCCCGAGAGGATGCTTTCCCAGTCACTACAACCGTAAACCCTATTTTTAAAGATTATCCGTTTTCAACCAGGTTTTAAGTCCGTGCGTTGGAATCTTTTCTCAACAAGTTGGGAACGAATCCGGTTCTGCGCGGTGTAACATCATCTGATGCTACCAACTCCCCAATGCCGACAATGGCGCCACGCTTTTGACAAGAAAATATCGAGATGGAGGAGGTAGCCAAAGAAATCAGAATATACGAAAAGCTGACAGGGTTCAAAATAAAGAGGGAAGAGTCTACTGGCTGAGCGCGTATAGGTTTGGAAAGCGTTCACCTTGGCTAATGTTAAAGGTAAATTTGCTTTTTACTCCCCGCGCTAAATAACTATTTAAATTTTCCGAAATCCTCATATTTCCGTGTAAATGTACATGTTGAACTCGAAATAACAATTAAATTATGATAAAACCTACCGTTTTGAAGTTATCGACAAGAAAAATTCGGACTCAGCCGCGGTCATTCGTCCGCCATTACCGGCTTTGTTTAATTAGATTCACTACCGATCACTTCTGTCGCGCAATCATAACTTTTTGGCCTATTATTTTTTAAAGAATTGTATTTCCTCTGACTTCCTCATTTTGATCTTTGAGGTCAGATGGTAGACTTAATGCCGATTATGATTGGCTGAGCCGAACGTTAGAATGTTAGAGTTAGAAAGTGTTTTCGTGGAGTTAAGTTTTACGCGTCGAAGAATGCAGACGCGTTAATTTCGTGTGCGTAAATTGCATGTTTTAAAATCCCTTTTGAAGTTCTCATTTTACCTCCGAACAAACCAACTTGCGATCACCCGGCCGAAAGATGACAGAAAGAAGAAAGCAATATATGAGTGAATCAAGACCATCAACCAAAAGACCTCACCAGATGAGAGGGGGCTATACAACATGCACGTTATTTGGTGTGCCGTGACCAGCTCCTTCTAACAAGGAAGGGCGCAAATGAACCAAGGTTGAAACACAACGTGGAAAAGTTCAGAGAAGATTTTCGATGGAGGACTCAAAAAAGAAAAGAAAAGAAAAAATAAGGGAATATGAAAAAAGTAGTCTAGACCTATTGGACAGTGTTTAAGCACGATAATACTACTTTGTTCTACTGCCACACAAACACACACAGACACAGAGAGAGAGAGAGAGAGAGAGAGAGAGAGATCTAAGCAACAAACTAAAAGAGGAAGTAATGTTGAAGAAATGAGGAAAAGGTATTTTTGATGGACAGACAATACAAAAAAGATAAGTAGAGAAAAGAAAGAAGGAAAGGACCATAAACACCCACACCCACACATACACACTAATGTGATAATGTTAATTTTCATAAAACATTTTAATAAGAGACTGATTTTGTTTGTTTTGTATTTTTACAAATGTTTAGACCATGTGTAGAAATTTATTGTTGATTTTTTTTATTGGCACGCTTCAAATGTCTTGTGTAAAGTCATGTCTGACATGATTTCATGCTGTACATGCTGTAGTTGAAATTTTTATTTTGTTGGGGGAAAATCTGGCTGCGAAAGTTTCAGTATTAAGAATTTTTTTTACTTGATCAAGTAAATTTAACCACTTTTGGTGACTGGCCACGTGGAAGCCTGAATTTGCGTACGTAACACAATGGAAAATGGTTTTGAAACAAAAAAGACTGACGGCATTTTGTGATGGGACATTCCCAACGTGATTTATGTGGAATGTTAATGTGTTGAAAGTTTTTGCGACTATAGTTTTGCGTGCATTCAAATGTTTTAAGTTTAGAATTATTTTGTTAATTGTAATTAACTTACAAATGATTGCTTGTTTGATTTTTGTAACAGTGTGGAAAATTTATTTTTATTTTAAGAGCCGTGTGTGTCCTTTTGTTTTCATTGTTTGAAGAATTAAGTTATTAATTGTTGAAATTTGAGAAGTAATTTTTTGTGTAAAAATAAGTTCGGCTTTCCGTTTGGGTTTGATTCCTGAGATCGAAATGGTCACATCTGGCTGCGTAGTTATGATGATTTATGGGAAGTAGAATGGGGGCCTGTGCGCCATGAAGTATTTATATCGAATAAATATACGCTCGAGGCCAAGTTTTGGGGCCTCCGATGACCTGGTGGAATTGGTCAGGTGATTTGTGGGATGCCAAGCTGCGGTAGCGGCTAAGGAAGAAATCCTTGTAATGGTAGAACCAGTAATGGATTAGTTAGAAGATGCTGAGCGGGTGTGGTTTTTTTCCCCATGGGGTCAGCCAACGTCCGGAGGAGAAGGATATGATGCGAGCGGAGTTTTGAGCACACAGAGGCAGATGAGAAATAACAGTAACGATAGGAAATTAATGGTAAAATTGTGAAGACCTGTTTAAGTGAATCTGGTAATATGCAAGTAAAAAATTAATTGGTTGTTTGAATAAATAGGATAATAATGATAAATAATGAACCATATGTCCTGTGTGCGAGAAGAGTGTAGATCATAATGTGTAAAATTTAACTGGCAAGGACGTGGCTCAGTTACGGAATTGTTTGAAGCTGTGACGTAGGGCTTTTGGCATATATTGTGTTTTTTTTTTGTTTTTTTGTGGGGTAAAGTATATTTTTTCAATGAATTGTATGTAAATTATCGTGTAGTTTCAAGTGAAGAGGCAAGGGATTTTGTTCTTCCCAGAAATATTAGATTGCAGAGGTGGTAGCTGCTGACCTGGGTGGTGGATAGACTGATGGAGTGACTGGCGTCTGAGGCGTTGACCTTGGATCACGGAAGATAGTTACCAAGAATGGATAAAGGATTGTCCTGTATTCTGTTTTGTTTACAAAAATGTTTGTGAAGCGTGAAAAACTGGTCAGAATTTCGTTATTTATGTTAATTCTTTTTTCAGGAATTGAATATGTGCATGGTGGAGTGGTCATGTGACCGAGGACCAATGAAAAACATTGTAAGAATCACGTCCTGCAAACACAATATTATAGAGAGTATTTTAGAGTAAATAGTTGAAATAAAATTCATAAATGAATCTTTTTTGATGGTTTTATTTGGCTGAGTTTATTTCGTTTAGCAGCATATTACCACCTTCATGGCTTATTAAATGCTGATATATAAATAATTTGAACAAAATTTTATGTCTTCAACGAAATATTTTGAACGCTATTGTATGCCATCAACTACAAATAAAATGCATTGCTGGTTATTTTACTTTAAGAATGTATAGTTGGTCATTTTTCTATATGAAAAATATACTGCTGCTATTTTTGCTATTAAAATTAATTTTTTTTATAAAAAAGTATTGTTGGTATTTTTATTATAAAAATGTATTTTTATACTTTCATAACGTTTTTTTATTTGTTTGGGAGGTTTACTAATAACATATAGCTGGGTCCCTAACAGCTTCTACCATCCAAATAAAGTTAGATGTGGAAAAACAGCAATTAAGAGGTGGTTCCAGGCTCTCCAAAACATCCAATCTCCCGATCAGAAACCTTGCTGCCAGATGTAGTTTATTGTCAAACCTAAGATTATATGTCGCCTCTAAGTGTTGACTTCAATGTTCACTTTTATATTTACACACGCTCTATATCTGATATTGAGCACTTTATCCCATAAATATAGCACACCTTAAGAGTATATTTCTTCATATATATATATATATATATATATATATATATATATATATATATTATTTTTTTAAAACAAAGAAAATATTTGTCTCTAAGGTCCTTTGATCCAACATCTCATCAGGAGTAAATCGTTAGCAATAAATTATACGAAAGAACAGTAACAACGAAAATGAAGAGCAAAATAAATAAATAAAAAGAGAAGGGATCAACACGATAAGATATATATATATATATATATATATATATATATATATATATATATATATAAATATATATATTTCCAAGTTGAAATTTCATTGTAAATACAATTAGCGAGGGACAAATTAAAATAAAATATCCCCAACAAATTAAGAGACCTGACAAAATCCTTCTGTCGACAGAGAGAAGGTTTGCGCAGTGATATAGGGACTGATTCCAACATCTTTAAATGATTATTGGAAACAGCACTATGAATAAATCTGAACCACTCTCTCTCTCTCTATCTATATATATATATATATGTGTGTGTGTGTGTGTGTGTGTGTGTGTGTGGCCTGACAATTGCGTCTAGCATGAAACAGCCTGTCGCCTCTAAGTGTTCACTTCAATGTTCACTTTTATATTTACACACGCTCTATTTATGATATTGAGCACTTTATCCCATAAATATAGCACACCTTAAGAGTATATATATATATATATATATATATATTCGAAGGTTGGATGAAATATTTATAGGCTGACTATGAAGGAGTGATGCTAGAACTTTGAAATTTTGCATACATTAATTTCAACTGTTCTTATTGACAACTGCATTATTTTTTCCAGTAAACTGACATCTGACTGTTCAAGGATGACTGCTCAACCTGCTAGTAAAAAAGTCATCAACAGCAGATGTAACATCATTTAACTGCGATACTAGTTACTGGCGGTGTTTTTTTCATGGCGGGGAACAGATGGTAGCCAAATCTGGAGAATAGGGAGGGTCATCAACCAATTTAACTTCACAGTCAAGCATAGCAACCATTGAAAACAAGGACTTGTGTGCTGGAGCATTGTCCTGATGAAACAAGTCCTCTTTCGTCAGTTTTCCTTGATTGCTTTTTGTAACTGCCTCACGATTTGAAGATAGTCAATAAACACAATGATTTTTGTATTCCCCAAAACTGAGGCCACCACCTTCCCTGAAGACAAAATG